TAATCAAGCTTAATCAATTTGCTTAATTCAACATTGAGGTTTGCCCTACATTAACCTAGGTTAAAGTGGCTAATTAGATTGCTAAGCACCAAAATGCACAAACCTAAGGATGCTAAGCACAAAACATGCACAACCCTTAGATTGCTAAGCACAAACATGCACAATCAACAAGGATAATACCTCAATCATTGAATAAAACAATACTCAATGATAATCATTCAATCTAAACAAGTAATTACAAAGTATTAGTTAGGGATCTACAACACTCAAGAGAAAAGAGTGAGTTGAGAGAGAGAGAGAGGGAGGGAGGGATTACAAATTTGATCTCAAGATCTTCTTCTTCTTCTAGGCTTGAATCTTCCACCCAAGCCTCCAATGATGCTCCAAGATCACTCTGGCACTCTCTCTCTCACTAGAAACCCCCTTTGGTGTTTAGGTTGAAACCCTAGAGAAAGAAAGTGTTTCTTCTCCCCAAAAACCAGCTCTCCCTTCTCCTTCAGCTCCCCTCTCCTTTTATACCCAAATCAGGCTCAGTTCAAGGTCTTAGAGATGCGCTCAAGGACGCGTTGATCAGTTCACAGTCTTAGTTCAAGGACGCATTGAGCAGTTCACGGTCTTAGTTCAAGGACGTGTTGAGCAGTTCATGGTCTTAGACCTCAGTTCACGACTGTGAACATTGAAACGCGTACGTGAACTCAGTGTTGAGACCAAAACGCACCGCTTCACATCCACGGTTCACGGTTTGTGCTTAGAGTTCACGGTCTTAGCGACCGTGAACTCACTTGGTGTCAATAACCTTCAGATTCTCCCTGGGCGTTTCGCGGTTCACAGATTTTAGCTCCAGTTCACGGTCCTGTAAAACCTTGAACTCCAATGGCAGACCTTGAACACAGGCTCTTTCCTCCTTTTTGCTCCTTTTCTTCCAACTTTCGACTCTGGGGTTGATTTCACCTGTTGGATCCTGAAACACGCTAAAACACAAGAAACCTAGCGTAAAACCACCCCTTTTTGGAGCTCAATTGCAACAAACGTCAAAGAGAAACGGGGATAAAAAAGTGTACAATTAGGCCCGAATCACTAACCTAACAAAATACTTTGGGGACAACACAGGGGCACAAAGTGGCGAATCTCAATGGCTATTGGCAACTAACACATGGACCGTTGCAAGCGATACCGACATCCACCACAAACAACATTCGAGGTCACCAAAAATGGGCAAAAGAAAAGTTCTTACCTTCTTCATGAATCAATGCTAGTCTTAACAAGATCACTCATGAACCACAACTAACCAAGCATAGAGTTCAAGTCCAAGGAACAAATGAATGGGCAACAAAGGTCCTCACTGGGGTATGATATGACATGCAAAGTAACAATGAATCACTCACTCTCTTGACCAGTAGGGTTGGGACCTTTTGGTGCAAAGAATGTGCACGATAATCAACAGTTGGCCTTATCATCTTAACACCACGGCGGCAACCTCAAAATGTTAGAGTTCACGGGATGGTTATCATCACTAGCTTGTCCGAAGGTCTTAGACACGGGTTCAAATTACTGGCAATTGTCTTTGACATGGGGAAAATGCCTTGTGGGTGGTGGCAAACACAACATGAGGTTCTACATCTTCAACCTAAACCCGAAGGTTCTATGGTTTCGACTAAGAACCTTCCCTACAAACAATGGCCACTAGCATCACCCAAAAGCCTTACTTCTCACTTCCAAACTATCACCCATCATGAACTAGATTCAAGCACACTTCCTCGGTCTATTCTTGCTAGCACGTTTCAAACATGGTAGTGAAGGAGTTCAACAACAATTTGGATGTTTCAATGGCTTGAGTGCCCAGAAACCCCTCCTAGAGTGTACACTTTGGCTCTTGTGGCACTCTCTACTTTATTTACCCCGTTTTATAACCTCTTTTCGATTTCTTTTCTTTCTACTTTCCTTTTCCTTCTTTTTCTTTTCTTTTTGAGGGGGGTACTAGAGAGTAAAACGCTTGCCACATTACATTTAACGACCAATGCTCTCTTTTTAAGAACTTACTCCAACACTACACTTTCTTTTTCATTTTCATTCCTAGCAAGAATAGCACACAATCCTCCTATGTAGAACCTCAATGGAACTCAAAAGCGAGAGCTCCGGGACACAAGGACGACTCATGTATAGACACGAGGAAAGGATTGTGGTCGTTCTATCAAACACCATTAAGCTCACAAGAAAAAAGCTCCTAATCATGAGAACGACCCCAAAGTCACAAGGCTCAAAGGGGTTGACTAGTGGATAGAACATTCCGGGACAATCGACATTTGGACGTGGACTAATCCTATGCCTCCATCATACTCACTAATGACAAATGTGATGTTACTCGCCATGGTAAGAGGGATCTATGCACACAAGAATAAAATGATCGGCTCAAAAGTCACATGGCTAACTAGTCACCCAACCATCTATTCCAATTCACAAAACACAATGCATGGCAATTGTAATCAACAAGTAATCCAGTCAAGACATCCATTCATTTTTGCACACATGAGAACTAAACCTTTGCACTATCCTAATGCACCTCTCAGTCATCATCACAGGACACACTCGATCACATGCAACAATTAAAGGTCAATGCCAAATAACACGAGATTCTCCCACAAACCGGCCACTTTGATCATGCAAACATTGCTTGGAGCCCTCAAATTTTTCAAATTTGGGAATACATTAAGGCTCCAAGCATCAATCACACTCACACAAGCATAACAATAAACTACCCCCTGCCACATTTAAGTTCGACATTGCCCTCAATGGCGTGAGATAGGGGTAGAGCGATGTTACCGCATAGCTTGGTGACTAAAAGTTGGAATTGTTTCTGGGGTAGGAAATTTGAGCTTCAAGGAGAATACAAAAACACACACACACACACACACAAAAACAACACATGCTCGGTCGAGGCAAGGTTATTACACAAAACCGTACGATAGTAGTGTAAACACCACATTTTGTCCGGTCAAAACAAATTTTATTAATTGAACTTTAATTTTTGTTTGAGATTGGCAATAACAAATCTTGAACAATCTTTTGCCTAAAGTCATATTATAGTGCTTGGGTTAGGTTTTGTTTGCCATAAGTCAATGAGATTAGAAATAGAAAATCTCAATTGATACAATCTATTAGTGACGAATTGACGTGTTTAGACGAATTAGGCTTAAGTTCGATTTTGGGTGTTATGCGAGTAAATTGATTATTAAGACATTGGGTCGTGTGAGAATTGGATCACAATTTCAAAACAAGTCTTAACAATTTTATTAAAATAAATACAATGCTAAACAACTAATTTTTTTTATTACAATGCATAATAATTGTAACTAATTACACTGCTAATATGCTATTACATAACACTAACTAGCATTCAATAAATGAATTTAGGCCCAAGTCAAAGCCTAGCCAAAAGACAACTCCCGTCAAAGCCAGTCTGCATGTCAAGGGCCCGTCCAAGTCAAGGCCCAAACTCAACTGGTAAAACCCAGTCAACATAGTCAAAGTCCAAAGTCAACCATCAACCAGTTAACAAAGTCTAACCGGTCATAGATCAGGACCGACCAAACCCAAATCCAGCCATACTCAAATCGACACTGTAGCATACTTGGGGACCAAGCTACCTTTTCCTTTAAAAAGAAACCCTTTGCAATACAAAGAGAAAAACAAGCTCCAGGCTAATTTCCTTTTCTTCTTCGCCTTCGTCCTCGTCCTCGTCTTCGTCTTTCCGTTCTTCCTTTTCTTCTTCACCCACCGGCAGTAGAGATTAACAACGACAACAACAAAAACACCCTCTCTCACGACAACTTCTCTTCTCCTTACCCATTCCCAAAAGAGAGACAAAAGTAGAGGCAGCGAGACTTCTTTCTTCTTCTTCCCCAAGCCTCTTCTTCTTCTCTGGTCCATAGGCAAGGAAACAAACCTCTGCAAAATTCTCTACTTCCTCCTCTTCTTAACCACGAAAAGATACAAACAATCCAATAAAAAAGGAGCACAAAGGAGCCTCTATTTCATTCTTTCCCTTACAAACCCAGAAATCAACATATACACAGAAACTGAAAGGATAAAATTATCCTTGCACTCCTTTCTCCTTCCTTCTTAGTGACACACAAAACAAAAGGAAAACAAAGAAAGGAGACGACAGACACCCAGGGGCCACAGCAAGCAAAGAGAAAGCATATTCAACATCAAACGACAAACAAAGGTTGGTAATCTACAATAATCAACTAATCATCAATTATCGAGCACTTCTACTATGCTATATAGTATTGGTGCTTTAATGTACAACTTAAAGTTGTACCATAACATTAAATGTATAAGTTTAGGTTGTACCATAAAGCAATTTGTACCATTATGTTATGGTACAACTTTACAACTTGAAGTTGTACCATCACATAAAAATACAAGTTCAAGTTGTACCATAAAAGAATTTGCACAAAAAGTATAGGTGCAATCTGAAGTTGTACCATAACGTAAATGTACAATTTTAAGTTGTACCATAAAGATAAAATCCTATAGCACCAATACTATATAGCATTATAAAATTTCTCTCAATTATCATCATTCACAGTCATCCGCGTCTTTCTACCCTTTCTCATCATTCAAGTTCATTAATTAATCAGTAAATCCATATCTAAATCCGTATATTAGACCTAATTTATGAAGTTTGTTTTAACACCTTAGTTTCGTTTAAAAGCTCCTCCTCTACATCTAGACCCCTCTTTAACCAAAACAGAAAGCCATCATCACTACCAACAATTCCCATATTCGAATTGAACCCAATCTCACACCTGCAAATGCCAGCTTCAAAACCATCCAAATTGTTGAGGATATTAATTATTTAGTAAAAAATAATTAACTCCTTGTCCTCCAAGTCCCTTGTTTCCTTGTCCTTGTCAAAGAAGGAAACCTGGTTGTCATTAGGGTTTTAACCCTAAGTCTCTCTATATAAGCTTAGCTACAAGATTGTCGTAAGCAAGCCGTCACAATGTAGTCCCATAATAAAATCGTCAGCCGTGAGCTCTTATGAGCTCACCGTGGATTAGTCTCGATCAATCGATCGAGGATACCACGTAAAATCTTGTGTTCTGTGTTCGTTTATTTCCGCGTCATCAAATTCTTCATGGTATCAGAGCGAACCTCGGTCCATTGTTAGGGTTTTCGCTTCCATCCTCTTTTTGGTTCTTCTGCGCGTTGTCCTCGTCATGTCCGATGAGTCCGCATCGGAGTCGAAGGGATCTGTCCTCCCTGATGTCATCGATCGTGAAGAAGAAGTTATGTCTTTCAGCTTTTATGCTGAAGTTTGTTCGATGGTCACACCTAGGCGAAGGTTCACCACTGTTGATTCGGATGAGCAGTCTAGCTCTCCATACGTCCAGTCAACCCATCGTTGGTTGGGTATTCGGTTCCGCCCTGAATCGTCGGCCAACGAAGTCTCATCACAGCTCGGAACAATCCTACCGCCGTCACTCCGTCCAGTCACTGCCGCTTCGCCGGCTCACTCATCCGTCCAGTCACTGCTCGTCAAGTTTTCTTTTGGATTTCGTTGCTTAAAGCAGTCCCGATGTCGGCTTGCAACAGTGCCCACGCTAGTCCGGGTAGTCGTCGCATCCCGTCAAAGTCACCATTCAATTCCACCCAGTTCGTCCGCTTGATGCTCCTAATCGGCTGTTCAGCCCAGTTTCGAATCTATTGAACGAAGTCAATTGTTGCGGGCTTGTGGCCGGGTCATCTTCATCAAACACTCCCAGCTGCCGCCTAGTTACTTCAGTTTGGAGACAGGTTCAGTCTAAGGCATTCACCGGCATTGTGTTTTGTCGAGAAGCCTTGTCGTCATCAGCGGATCATCTTCATCATGGTCGATAAATATTACATGGAAAGTTTGGGTTCTATGAAAGGAGGTCACAATGGGTTCTTCAGAGCTCATGGAAATCCAACGTCAATTATAAACTGTGACAATTCAAGGTTTTTTTGTGACTAGTGTTCATTTCGACTTTGGGATCCGTGTCCGCCAATTGGGTCAAGGAGTTTGGACTTTGGACTTTGGACATCAACGTCACTTTCATAAAGTCAAGGAGTTTTAAGTAGCACGCTTCTCCAATTTGCTTCCCATAAGTTTTGTGTCTCTCAGCTACCACCCTCACCTCAATGCGCCCTGTTGCTAGTCACAATCATCATCAACAATCAGGTTTCGTTTAAGGCAGCATGGTTGTTCAATTCACGTTGTACTGTTGATCTCAAGTTCAAGGTTCAGCTTCAGTGGTTCTGTTCTGTCAAGGAGTTTTATTGTCATTCAAGCCATGTCATTCTCATAAGGTTACAAAGCAGCCAACAAAAGGAAGTCAAGCTTTGTACGTTACCGGAGAAAGGGTTTTCTTTCCCTAGGCTTGAAGAAATGAAAGCTCCCTCAAGTTGTGAAGCGAGATGGTCACGATCCCAGTAGCGATCGTCCCCTCAGCATTCAGCATCGGTCAATGTTGAGTCATCACCATTCTAACTTTCAAGCTGGGCATTCACATCGTTCATGTGTCAGCTTGAGGGGGAGAATAGGGAGTCAAGTCGTTCAGGAGATGCAGTCAACCATCTCCACCATATCATACGGATAGACGTAGTCAATCGTCTCCGTCAAATCATTCAAGAGACGCAGTCAACCGTCTCCGTCAGGTCGTTTAAGAGACGCAGTCAACCGTCTCCATCACGTCGTTCAAGAGATGTAATCAGCCGTCTCCGTCACGACGTTCAAGAAGATGCAATCAACCGTCTTCGTCAGGTTGTTCAAGGGAGAGAGTCAGTCGTCTCCAAATCAACCTCGTTCGAGATGTTATTCATCTCGAGTTTTGTTGTTCAAGCTGGTCATGCTTGTTCGTCACATTTCCTTTTTCAAGCTCGACATTCTTGTCACTCATGTCTTCGCTTGAGGGGGAGTGTTGAAGATATTAATTATTTAGTCAAAAATAATTAATTCCTTGTCCTCCAAGTCCCTTGTTTCCTTGTCCTTGTCAAAGAAGGAAACCTGGTTGTCATTAGGGTTTTAACCTTAAGTCTCTCTATATAAGCTTAGCTACGAGATTGTCGTAAGCAAGCCGTCACAATGTAGTCCCATACTAAAATCGTCAGCCGTGAGCTCTTATGAGCTCACCGTGGATTAGTCTCGATCAATCGATCGAGGATACCACGTAAAATCTTGTGTTCTGTGTTCGTTTATTTCCGCGTCATCAAACTCTTCACAAATAAAACCCCAAACAACATTGATACATTAGCTAAGACCCGCTAATGAGGGTTAAAAATCCTGATTATCGGAACCCATAAAACGAGCCTATAACCCAAGTTAATTAGAAAGCACATTCATTTTCTCTAAACACATATCAGTTTTCCATTCACGATCATGAAATCCATTTTTAAAACTTCACAATCAGTTCAATCTGCATGAAAATAAGTTAAAAAGAAGCCAGAATCAAATTCAAATACGAAAAGTCTGTCTTACCCAGATCTCCTTTTGTCGTGTCTGGTGGTTGACCTTCCTTCTCCGACGGCGAGACCCACGACCGTCGGCGACCCCATTTTCTTCTCCAATCCTTGCCCAAGACCAGAAACCCTCGCAATCAATCCTAAAAAAACAAACATATTCAAAACCCATTTCATCGGAACCTTAAATAACCCCAAAATCAAAAGAAAATTAGAATCAAACCTAAAACATCAACATGCAGCCCAATGGAGACTCACCTTTGTCCATCTTCGTCGTCATCGTCATCATCATCATCGCCACCGTCGCTTCTGTCTCCCTGTCTCCTCGCCGTTTCTAGAAAAGAGAAGAGATGGATAGATGATCGAGAGAGATGAGAGGAGGGAGGCTAAAGGAGATCGCAAGAGTGAAAGAGTTTCGTTCTCGGAACAGGAAATCGAAACGGAAGAAGGGGTGAATCGAGTCGTTCTCTTCTGTTTCAGATGAAAGGATCCGCGAGAGTAACACAATGAGAGAGGAGAAAACGCAACGGCCAGAATTGCCGCCGTCGCCGTCCTTTGTTGCTCATGATAAGGCTGACCGAGTCTGCAGCTGCTTGTTAGCTAAAGTTGTTGCTTCTTCCCGTTACAATAGCAGCTGATTCCCCACTCTCTATCTGTTACCTTAAATCTCTCCAACCTCTTTACAATAGCAGCTGATTCCCAACTCTCTATTTGTTACCTTAAATCACTCCAACCTCTTTCTGATTATGTATTCTAGCTCAAGTGTATAAATTCCATCTGTTGAATAATAAACACAACATAGATTTCACAAGATCATTCAGCTCAGACGAGGAAGAAGGAGAAGCAAGTTCGTCTTTTCATTTTGTTTCGGTTGAGAGAAATCGAGAGAGTGGTGACTAGGGAGGAGGGCGGCTGCTGCTAAGGCGAAAAAGTTAATAACTGATATTCAAAATATATGAACCATACGAACTAATATTCAAGTATTAAAGTATTTAGAGAGCACAGACTAGTATTCAACGTTTATTAACTGATATTCACTATGAATCAATTATTATCCCAAATTCACAAATTAATATCTAGACAACACAGAATAGTATTCATACAACACATAATTAATATCCAGATAACACATAAGAGTATCCATATCGAATACTAGTTGGTTGATTGTGGAAATTAGTTGGTATTCGCTATTTGGATACTAAGTTGTGATGTTTTGAATACTAGTCTATGCTATCTAGATATTTTAGTGAAATCAGCTGATTTGGATACTAGTTCATACATTTTGGATGTTAGTTAGTATATATATACTAACAACTTATGTCGTTAGCAGAATCAAACCTAAAACCCATTTTGGATACTAGTTTCATTAGGCTAAAATTACCCGACCTCCTTAAATGACTAATTTGCCCCATTGATTTTCTGAAAATTACATAATTGCCACCTTCCCCGTCTTAAAACGACACGGAACCAAAAAAATTAAGTCTCTTTTGTGGTTTGACCAGTTGGCTCAAGATAGGGTGCATAACCCATGGTTATGCAGCCATCAATAACCAAATCTGGACCCTTTATTTAGAAAATCCAAATCTAAAGATGGAGAATTAAATGTCATTTTTATTTTCCCCAGCTTTCTTAATCGGCTTATATCTTTTTCATTTTAACTCGAATTTTTTTTTTTTGCACAGATGGAACGAATTCATCGTGCTCTACAAAATGACATCAATTTTCAATATTTTTTGAGAAAAAAATTACGGCCTCTCAGTACCAACTACATAGCATATGGTATTTTCTTCGTTTTCAATTCGTTTTTGAAAACGTTTGCACAGAAGGGACGAGTTCATCATCATCTATTGGATCTACAAATTTCTGGGTGAACAAATTATAGAACAAGAAAATACCACATAATATCATATAATACCACCCTGGTACGGGGTGGTATGTTGTGGTACACAATGTTAAAAGTCATAAATGACAGTTTATATACTTATACTATCATGTATTCAACCATCCTACAGTCTTGGTTTGTTCATACCACCATGGTACGCTTTTCAAACCATAGGTATGCTCTTATTTCAATACCAGTCAATACCATATGGTATAGACTGGTAAAAAATGGGCTCATTTTTTTTTTGTTCGAAAAATATATCAAAGTGGATATCATTTTGAAGAACACAATTAATCTGATCCAACTGTGCAAAAAAACTTATATTTTGACTTAAAGCGAGTTGGAAATCGTCCGTCAAAGATTAAGGAGGGGAAAATTAAAGGTTTTCCAGGAGAGAGAAGGATGCTGATGTCATTTGATTTGGACGGGTTACTCATGATTACTCACCATAAGGTTACTGACCTGATCCGTTCCCGACAAGTTGAACTCAGAGTCATCACAAATTCTGGGCAACATTTTAAACCATTAAGCTGGCCGCCAGCTATTTGTCCACATATTAATCTCAATTACTCTTAAACTAAATTATTTGAATACTTAACTTCCGGTCAATGGTCAATAGGGCTCAAGATAGGATGAGTAACAATGAGTAACCAAATATGGACCCTTCTTTTAACTGACTGCAGATTTAAGGGTGTAGAATTAAAGGAATTTATTTTCCCTAGTTTTCCTAATTGGATCATATCTTCTTCATTCTAACTCGGATTTCAATTTTATTTTTGCATAGATGGAACAAGTTCGTTGTGCTCTACAAAATGATATCCATTTTCAATATTTTTTGAGAATTTTTTTTTCATCCCTCTCGTTACCAACTCCATACCATATGGTATCTCCTTCGTTGTTTAGTCATTTTCGGAAATTTTTGCACAAAAGGAACGATTTAATCATGATCTATTGGATTTCAAAATTTTCTGGGGGAAAAAATTCCATACCTCTCGTTACCAACTCAATACCATACTATACCACCCTGGTATGAGGTGGTATTTTTCATACCATATGGTATGCTTTTATTTAATACCAGTCAATACCATATGGTATTGACTGGTAATAACTGACAAATTTTTTTTGTTCCAAAAAATATCAAAGTGGATATCATTTTGAAGAGCACAATTAATTTGATCTAACTGTGAAAAAAAAAATTAAATTCCAAGTTAAAATGAGTGAGAAATCGTCCGTTAAAGATTAAGAGAAAGAAAATTAATGATTTTTCCAGGAGAGAGAACGAGACACTAATGTGGCAGATTCTTATTGGGTTATGCATGGGGTTACTCACCACAAGGTTACTCACCGGATCTACTCCCGGTCAATAGGCCATGATCGGATTCTTGTGTTAAGTTTTCTTCTAAATTTATCAACCCTTCAACTTACAATTTCAAAGTATTAAAATTTTTTCACCGTTTCAAATATAAATTCTTAACACGTATCAATAGGACGTGTTGGGTTCCTTTTTACTAAAATCTCTCAATTACACCGAAGTACGTGGACTTTGATCCCGATTACTCGGGTACATAGGCAACCAATAGGTTCGAGTTCGACTAACAAATTTTCTCCACATTCCTA